ACACACACACATTCATACACACAATTTTATATCAGTGAGCCACAGACAAGGCATGTGTTTATAAAAGAGAATTAAAAGCAAAAAGAAACAATCCATTTACAACCAAGAGTTTTAGGCACAGTCTCTTCCTGTTTTATAAATACATGTCAAGTACGACTGCTTCTCGACAGGAACTCTTCACGATTGTGCTAACTTTTTTTTTCTTTTAAACACAGTTTCGTAACTACCACTTCGTTATTGCTAGGACATTGTGACAGTGAATGAAAACTACTGACAAACGTGTGTAGGGAAAGCACCTTTAAACATCAAAATTACTGCCATGTGACCCTACGTTACAACACTGAGGAAAAGAAAAAGTGGAATTTATTAAAAGAAAGAAATGGCCCAGAACATCAAAACCTTGAAACCTTTTGTGACTTTGGGAACCAGAAATCCAAGGAAAAAAAAGGGTCTCAGTTGAGCTACATTCATTTTTCCCTCCCACTGTACGTTTCAAGACCGCAACATGTGGATTCCTCTTGGTGCAAGCAGACAGTAAGTACCACTTCATTATGTCCAGTACATTCCTCCCCTCCTCGCCTCACCCTCTCTACTTTTCTGTGTCCGTGAAGGCCGGCACAGAAACAGCTGTGTGACAGTGTGCGCAGTATGATACAGTACAGCTGAGCATACAGTACAGTAGACTGACGGGACATACGTAGGTAGATTATATGTTGACTACAGTAAATGAGCTTTACATTCCACTACTGTAAGAAGATCCCAGGGACTCAGGCTGGTGCCCCCGGGGGTTGCCTTTCACAATTCCACTCCAGTGCCGGAGATGTGGAGGTTTCCCAAGAGTCTCATTTGCCAGGATGGAGAAACCGTTAACTTCAGAGACAGCCCTGCACTTCAGACAGAAGAGGATCCCAAAACTAAGGTCCAGATCAGGGTTTCAAGTCTCTCCACACAGGGCTGCACTACAGTCTCCTAAGCAGGGGCTTTTTAAAAGAGTCTTGATTACTCTGGGGGCCGGTAATGGTTTGTTTGAAAGTTTGTTTGCCTGTGGATCATCTGGGAGTCTTAAGTAGGAGTTGAGTGGGTGCCCAGGAGGAGTGAAGGCCATCTTGCTCTCTCTCTCTCTTTCTGTGGGTCTCTCTCTCTCAGGGTTTCTTGTCAATGGTGTGAAAGAACCACTCTGTGAACTTCCTGAGCTGAGCCGCCGCCGTCTGGCTTTCCTCCTGCAGTCGCATGTTGTCCTGTCTCAGGTGTTGCACCTCCTCCTGCAACATCGCCTTATCCTCTTTCTCCTGAACACACATACAAACACACACACACACAATCAACGCCGGTACATGAGGCAAAAATAAATGGATACAAAAGAGGTTGATAAAAGCCCCGCTATTACGAGAACATCCGTCTTTCGTCAGCCCTGTGTAAATGGGAGGCATTAACATGGCAAAGCAGCCATTTCTCTGTTCTGATAAAAGTGCATTTCCTCTCTCCATTTTAAGCACATTAGTGGACGTGGGGGAAATGTTGGGCTGGGAAACAATAAGGAAAGGAAGCAGGATATTGAATTAAGTGGACGAGTTTGTATTACATAGACCTCGGGGCACCCATTACTCAATGTCTATTCTCCTGAGCTGAGTGACACAGACTTGCACTGTTTGCTTATGTGTAAAAAGGGAAGGCAAAAAAAAAAAGTGAGAAAACATAATCACAAAATGACATATGTGAACTTACCTTTCGGAGGTCATGCTGCAGCTGCCTGAGGATCACCTCCAACTGGTTGACTTTGCCAGTTAGTGTGGAGGGGGAGCTGCTGTTGGGAGACACATAATAGGATGAAGTTAGTACTTAAGACTGATGTATCACACAAATAAAACGTTTTGGCATCTTCTAGCATGATACAGAAGCTAATAATGGACAGTCAACCTTCTGTTCTTGCATGCCAAAGATCCAATTTACAATGATAACGGTGGTAGCCAGTATTTTAGTACTGTATAACAAATGATGAAAGTAGCATATATTCTTTGATGGTTTAGATGTTTAAAATTCATATTAATATTCAGACAAGAAACATTGATGCTTTACTGTTTGTATATTCAAACAGTATGTTTCACTTTCACCAGAGAAAAAGATTTAGGGAAGAGAAATAACCGATATTATTATAAGACAATCTAACAAAGGCAATGGGTGGAGTTTCTCTAGTGTAAACCTTTTCAAACTCATCATCACTCAAAACCCCTCGACTCCCACTCAGTGGATGTTCCGGTCCTGCACAGGTATTTTTACCTGATGACATGCCCCTTTTCTTTAAAGGCCTTATGAGAGCCTTATGCTTTTGCTCTTGAGTTTTGGGTTTTGTAAAGGTTGAAAAAAAAGACCCGCCAAACACTTGAGATACTGACCATGTTTTATTAGAGCCTCATGAACACCACTCCATCATGTGGAGAAATCAAAAGCTCGACAGGCCATCTGTGCCTAGTTATGGTTGCTAAGCTGTGATTGGACAATCACTTTTCGGGGTCAGATTTTAGCTAACAGTCGATATTTCTCTTGCTACTGGAGCGTTGGTGCATGTGTGTTTGTGTTTGTTGGTAAAGCCTACTCTGCTTCCAGCGCTGCTCCCTCCGCCTCCACCACTCGTCTGGTCAGCTCTCTTGAGATCTGCAGAGCCTCTGCCCGCTGCATGTCCGTCATGGTGCAGAAAGACGCCACGCGCTGGTCTGGAGACAGAACAGGTGACGTAACAGGTCATAATCTTTCCTTAACATCAAAGGCAGGAAATGTGTTCAGCAACGCATTTCATGGAGTCAACATGCAACTAAAATAGAGCAGAACAACACACTCGCATGCATGCATTCCTAACAGGATGGGGCGATTCATTCATGCTTTGTATGAATGGGTGTTTCTGGTTTAAGCGCTGTTGCAAAGCCACCAAAGGCAGTCCTCCCATACAGAGAGATCTATAACCAGACAATAAGGAACAAGGTGGTAAACAGAGCATTTTTAGACTATCACAGATAAAGTCAGTCCCTTGGGTGTTGCTCCTGTGCCCTCGCCCCTCTGAGCTTCCTCTGACAGCTGTTTGGCTTATAATGGGCTGGATCCCAGAGCGCTGTAAGGCACCAGTCATGCTTGTTTTACCATATCAGGCCCTTAAGCTTGCTCAAAGCCCCATGGAAAACCCAAACTTGGCATGTTACACTTGGGGACTGCTCAGTTTTGAGGCGTAATGCTCTTTTTCTTCAGACACCACGCTCTCTCTCAAGCCCTTGGTCTGAGACTAAAGATAGGGGGATCTGCATATTCATAGAAAAGATTAAGGAAACCCTTCCATTAATTTAGCCCCCAAATGAAAGCTAATCCACTCCAAGACAAAAGCTGATCGAGCCTGGAGTTGGTTGTTCAGAGGAGGCAGGAAAGGGAGACCAAGCTTTCATTTACATATGAATGAACATTTCCCTCATATTCGATGGCTGCATCAGAAAGATTAAAGGCAGGCAGCGATGGGCACAGAAAAGCAGCTTGTCTTTTTTTTTGCGTGACCTGATGTCCAGATTTACTGGACAAATGACAGATTACACTGAAGAGAAAAAAACTGAATAGAGAAAAAAAGACATTCCGAGTGCGTGAACACACACAACGTTATTTTTTGTGACGGAATATTAAAAACATGGCAAATAGTTGACAAAGACAACTTTCAGAGATTGCTTCAAAAGCCTTTTGTAGCTGAAATTTACCAAACTCCCGTTTTTAATTTCATCTACTTATACTGTCAAAGGTCAGGAGGCCACAGTGTGTTTGTGGATGCTGCACGCCTCTCCAAACTGTCTTTTTGCATCATGAATATAAGCAGGCTCCCAGGATTTTCATGACCAAGGTTATGAATGCTATAAATGCTTTACATCTCTGGCGACCTGTTTCTCCCCATGGCTCTAACCAGACCTGGTTGAACATACATGGCACAATGGCAGCCTGGAGCCACTTTCTGCTCGGCAACAAGGCTCCAGTTTACCAAGTGCTAATTTTTCTGGGCCAGCCAGGCTGCCGTGACAACTGCCTTTTTGCTGCCAGTCAGACTCAGCATCATCTCCACTGATTCCACTCTTGCTAAATGATATGCTGCAGGCTATGCAGCAGTAAATGCATCAAAGAAAAAACTCTACAGAGGATTCATTAATTATGACAAATGTATGGTCACATGCTACATTGCTTGCTCACTGGTCTCAGGGTCAGGTGGAGTTCAAGTGGAAGAAAAACTCATGGCATGTTAGCATTTCCGTGATAAATGGGGAAATACACTGGTATGAGAGCGGTCGAAGAAATACTAAAAAAAATGACCAGAAGTGATGATGTTGACCATGAAGTGGCTGAGATGTGTAAATGCTAATTAACTGAAAACAGTGTGACTGAGTGAAAAGACAGATTACAGTTTTGACAGAATTTTTCACTCATGTTGCCTAGAAAGACAACACACTGTAATAAATGTACGCGAGTACTCGATTCCTAAATTCCTTGTAGCAAGTCAGCTACCAAAAACCACAAATATAAAAGCAGCCATTCAGACAGTTTATAAGACACAAGAGTCCATCTTAAAAATGAAGATTTCTATTTCTAAGAGAGAATCTGCCGCTTGGGACCAGATGACTGTTATTTTGTACATCTTCCAGTGGACCAAATTCAGACTTAATGGACAAAAGGCTAAAAGAGGAGCTGAAATTACCCCCAAACTACCAACCTAAGAGCTTAATAGTAAAGGTCTTCGGTGTAAGAACTCTCCCTGAGTGACGACTTGCTGGCTTTATGGTTTAAAAATTGTCTCCATGTCTGTACTGAGAATTGATGGCTCTTTTTTCCAAAGTTACAGAGCTTGATGGGAATCACAATGGGGCTCAGAGCAGAGGCGCAAAAAGCAAAAGGATTCCCGCAAGTCACCTCCTACAGCACTTAGGAGACACTAGAAGAAACACAAACAAAAAGCGCACACAAACCTGCACATGCAAGCGAGCTAGCACTTGCAGATTATGGACACACAAACACACAAACACACACACATACACACTAAGCAGCCAGGAGGAGGGGAGGTTACACGAGGTGCCAGCAGCTTCAGCCAGGCTGGTTACCTTCAAAGGCTCGTGCTGCATCAACCAGGTGAGACCAGTCCAGGCCCGTGGCAGTGTCTGGGAGGGGCATGAGGCCTGGGTCGGTGAACTTGGACCTGTCCGCCAAGGAGCCGTCAGAGAACCAAAACTCATCTGCAGAGACAGGCAGGCACTCCCATCAGTGTCTAGGCCTGGCCTGAGTTTAGGGCTAATCTCTGAGTCGCCCATCAGTTTGCATCAGAGCAGACAAGAGGGTTTAGAAGAGGAATGGAGGGGCGTAAAGGGGGGAAGGCAGGGGTTTATTCAAACTCGTCGTGGCTGGCTAACAGGGACAATATTTACCTAACTCCAGCCCTGCACATCAAAACACCTAGCTTGAGCTGGATAAAGTAGGTCCTATCCAATAATACCTTCACTCGAGTCCAATTCTAATCTGGATGCACCGGAATAACAAATCCTCTTAGAGGTTGCAAACAATTTAACTTTGAAAAGAAAAGTTTTGTATATATGTGACATCAAACCACCATCTCTGCATAGCACTCGCAAGGCGCTGTCTGAGGGGCGATAAATGACTTGTCTAAGCGAATGTCTTCATGTTTCAATCAATATCTCCTTTCCCTCCCCTCTGTCTCTCCCACCCTCCCTCCCTGTCAGCCCTGAAAGACAGGGAATGCAATAAACAAGCTCCCATTCTGCAGAGAGGCATTTAGAAAAGCATGAGTGGAGAAGTGGAGAAGAGACAGAGAGAGCTTGAGGTGATGCTGACACTCTCCTTTCAATTTACCCAGCGTCTTGGAGCTCGAGTGATTCACTGTTTACCAAATTGGACTGTTTCAGTAAGTAGCCCGTGTTCTCAACTATCCTTCAAAACAATCGTGAATCCATCAGGTTGACAGCCAGAAGAGGCTAAAGAGAGAAACATCTTTCCAAAAGCCATTTTCTATCTAACGACGGCAGCCGGAGACGGATGAGGAACGGTATGGAAATGAGACAGGAAGGACGGAGAGGGAAGGCAGGCAGGGACTTATGAGTGAATGAAACATAATGTATGACAGGCATTGTGACACTCCTGATGGAAAAATAGGCATGTTCATGTCACAGATCTTAAAGACCTGCAGCGGCGCAGGCAGGACACATCACACCTCTCATCCCTAATACATATTCAGTGGATGCTGGGCAAACAGTAGAAAGGGGAATACTAGCCAGCAGTGACAGGTGTCTGCTTAATGCAGACAGAGCGGCAGGCCCCTTGCAAGTTGCACACCCAGTTCCAATTAGTTGACTATATTGAGGAGTGTTTTTAGAGTGTGTACCAGTTGTGCTAATGATATTGGTAGGACACAAGTGTCTCTTCAAACAAGTATCTATATCCTGGCTCTTATCTGGTGTCAGAGAAGAGGAATGATAATCCAAGAGCAACATGCAGAGAAAGTCTACATTAGCCCTCCTGTCTCTAAGAGGTATCTTAACAAGACGCTGCAGAGTTCTGTTTGTTTTCTTTAAAGCAGCTTCTCTGCATCTGTATTTGGTGAAGTGCTGTACACATGTTTAGGTGTTTCTTTTGCAACAGCTAGCCTAGTGAGAGTTTCACTGTCTGTACTTACTCCTTAGGTTGGATGCCCCCTGGTTGTGGATCATGCGAGGAGGCAGTGTGCTGTGGTAAGGTGGGGTGGTGCTGAATAGGATGTCGTTGGGCATGGCTTGGTCCAGCATTGAGCTGTGCGAGCTGGCGTAGGACGAACCCTTGCGGTTACTGCACACACTCTCGTCTGATAGCGTCCGGTATAGGGAGCGTCTTGGTGACAGACTTCCCACTGCTGACACCTGAGAGAGGCAGAAGGAGAACAATTTGTCAAGAGACAGTCACAACGATGCAAATGATGGAGCTGAATGACCTCCAAACCCCCAGCGATGGCCCCCTCTCTGCACCCTCCCCGTGCTTTGCCTTTCCCTGGCACAGCAGGTTTACACGAGCGGGCAGCTGGGCGGGTAAGGAGGGAACATCGGGGAGCAGTGTCAGGAATCAATTACAGTCTTTGCTCTCAGGAAAATGCAGATGGATTGAGCACAGCTGGAGAGTGTCTGGCAAGTGGGAAAAACAGGGGACAGGGCTTCTGGAGGTGGTGACAGAGGTCACTGCACTGAGGCAGCCAATAGTCACTGAGCTTAATGTGAGAAACTACAGGAAGCAGAGAAGACTTAGTGTAGGTGCCACAATACTAGACAGAGGAGAAAAATACAAGCTCATAGATTCTGGTATTTTTCAACCTGGCATATTTCCCGTCAATATGGCCATTGTGACTCTATGGGTCATGCTAACTTTGCACTTGCCACCCCTGGGGAAACAAGGACTGAGTCTGACTACAAGTTAACACAGAAATAAGGCCCTGGAATAGCCATTATGGCTAACTGCACAGGGATGTACATCAGTACTTGCCAGTTGGCCTCCACCTGGCCGACCGTATTTAGTCGCACCAGAGGAAACAGGTACAAAACTTCTGAATATAACAGAATTGTCACCATGATTCTTTAAAAATGCATCTCCAAAAAAGATGACTTTGTATTAATATTGTATTGTAGAATAGTAGTGCAGTTATTGTAGTTAGGTCAGCCGGCAAGCTGACCCAGATGTAGATTCCTAGGCAGTTAATAATGGCTATTTCGGGGGGCTACATTCCGTGCTTACTTTCAGTCAGATTTAGAGACCGTTGGAAATGATCCATGTAAAATCTGGAAAGCTGTCAGAGGCTCATGCAGCTTTCCCTTGATATACATTCAATCCTCGTTTCCCTGCATCTCTACAACGGAGGTGCTGAGTGCAAAGTTAGCACAACCCATAGAGTCACAATGGCCACATTTATGGGAAATAAGCCAGGTTGAAAAACTTTCTATTGATTACATTCCAGCATGAGCTATTATCCAGGGATTGTCAATACAGATTAACAGAGCAAAGTGAAGCCCACGTATAAGTCAATTTAATGCAGGGCTCTATTAAGAGCTCATCATATTCAAATGAACAATTATCTTGTACACGTTTGCTTGTTTACAAACCAGACAAAAGACCTAATGAACACGGTCCAGTGAAGCGGCAGGCATAATGTACTTATATAAAGCATGTTTGCTGCTTTGTGTGTACTTCCTAGAATATGACTCATATCACAAAGAATCTAAAGACTAATTGAGGCCAACAATGCAGAGGTCAAAAGCCAACACAAGGTCAGGATGAACAATCACAAAGGTTGTAAGCGTTTGACATCGCGTTTCATCCTGGAGGGGAGAGGAATTACACAGCATACCACTGCAGGGATATGACTGTGGCCAGAACTTTGACAGAGGATCTCCTGTTTAAACACACAAAACCACAAAGGCCAATCCAATCCATCACTGTCCCTTTTAGCTTACATAAATATTGCAGGAGTGACATCAAAAGTAGCCACAAATGATATGCGGGGCAGTTGGCCAGATGGGTAAATGTCTGCCTTTGGCTTCCCAGCTGTAACCAACACTAGACTGATATCCCCACAAGCCAACACCCAGCCATCTCCATTTCAAAGACGGAACCTCCACAAATCCCACCGTGAGAATTTAACAAACATCTACTCTTTAAATACGAGACATAAAGTGGAATTCAAAGCAGCATACATACATACTGACTCCAAAGAACACCTCAGAGGCTTTAACTTAACAAAGTTGTCTCTTATTGCAAGTTTCCCCACCCAACTTTACAAGATTAGACCCCATAAGGTTCTCGCTCATCAAAACAACTTAAACAGGATTTGCTGCTCTCGCATATAAAGCAAAAATAGCACAGATTTAAAGCTCCAATAAATGGAGTCACGGCAAATGAAACCATTTGCAATAGGGCTTAATGTTTTTTCAGAAGCCATCTATTTATTACATCTACAGCATCAAACCAGGCTCTCTGAACAAATCTTGGCACTGGTTAACTGAACCTGCTGTGCACAGAAAATATTGTATTAATCAAACCTGCAAGATTATGGACTATTTTAGTGAGTCTAAATCCACCTCAGCTGGCAACAGTCCTCACTCTGATTTGGGCTGCTATGTGTTTGAATTCTTTTATACAACAGCAACGCTCTTATCAGCCGAGGCAGCAGTGACACATCCACCTTGATTTTCCCTGACTTTCTTTCCTCGCTGCCCACACTGAACAAAGACAACAACCAGCGTTGGAACCCTTTGACGTGCCACTTGGGAGGATGTGTTAGACAACCACCTATTCAGATGCTTTTTTCTTTCCCACAGGAGGTTCAAAAGAGGAACGCTGTGGGAGAATAAGCTGTGAACGGCCTTTCCTTTACGTCAGCCACACAATAGTCTGCCTGTCTGTGCAAGGGCGTCCCAGCGGACACGGCGGCTGGCAAGGAAAATCTCTCTGCACCTGCTCACCCACACAATGGCATTGGGTGACTACCGGAAGTGACACATGAATTAACCTTTACCATAGACTCTGTTTAATTACATAGAAGATTAAACAAGTCAGACTGTATTAAATTAGAAATACATCAATGATGTTTCCAGCATTGTCATTACTGTAATTTGATTCCTTTACATGCCAGCTGATGATTGAAAACATGCAGTCCCAGTGTAGCTGCTCCCAGAAAAGAACAGTATGTGTTCATTGGGATCAGATGTGTGTACAGTATATGGTGCGTCTGGCTCTGTGCCCTCTCTCATGCATCTCTCTCCCAGATTGCTTTTCCACACACTGTATTATCGGACTGAATCAGGCTGGAGAGTGAGATTACAACAAAGACCATGTTGGTCTCTGGATCCAACAAGCAGCACTGTGCACCTTTGTACTGGTTACTGCGCTTTCCTTCTCTGTGGGAAACAAAATAGCATCGAATGAAGGGAAATCACAGCGCGGGCACAATACACCTGCTTTCATTTTAGACAAGCACTGACGCTTCCTGGTTCTCTTGTAAGCACCACATTTTATGTACCGTAAGCCCAGTGCACTACAGCAAGACAAACTACTGTAATCAGTGCAGAGGTGCATCATGTGAGGGACAAGGCCTGCCTGTGCCAGAGGACATGCCTGTCTTCTCTAGGGATGAATGCATTTATATTAGAATTGAGCAGCATCCAAAAATAACCGATTTGTATGTCTCCAGGGTCCATTCCTGGTAGATAATGGATGGGGGATGGGGGATGGTGCAGGGGCAGCTGAAGATGCAATTAATAGAATCGGCAGGACCCAGGAACATCAAACATCGATGCACTCTCTGCAACTCCCTGCCTTTAATCCATGACATCCCGACTGAGCAAACCCAGGCCCCCGTTATAAATTAAATTAACCAAATACTCTGTGCCAGCCAATGGGGACTGAAAGGGTCTTGTGTCTGGAAAAAAAAAGCCCTATCAGCTGTGGTGCTCAGTAGAGGGGCCACCTGATAGGCAGCAGATGTTTCTCCTGCTTTTACTTGATTCCCAGCAAGAGGTTATCTGCTCTGGTTCTGGCCTCGTTTGTACGACGCCTGTTAGTCAGCATGATAAAATAGCCTTAGGGTTTGCAGTAGATCCTTGGAATGTCATGTAATCACGCTATCAACAATTTAAACTGTTCAATTGTCATGAAACTTAATGGTCAATCAGGCGCAATAACCTCACCTTCCGGGTCCGGTCTTCCCCCGGAGGGCTGTCGGGGAGCATCATTTTAAGGTATTCTTCTTTCGAAAGTCTCTGCAGTGATTTTCCATCCCGGTCAGCAGCCTGGAGCCGGCAGGCTGCCTCCTGTGCGTACAGCTGCCTGTAGACGATACAGAGGGCACAGAAGAGCAGAGCTCATCAGAAGGGGCATGAAAGCCACAACCTGTACGGGAGGCCATGGGCCATCACAGTTTGGGTCCAGCTGTTTAGAAAATAATGTCAGTATCACACAAAGGTTTCAGGTGGATCCGTCTTAGCATGCCAACATCAGGTGCCTCCGTGCTCCATGCTAGTCAGGTGAACTTGGGGTAACAGGGTTGGAGAGGGACACTCGGGAGGGAATTTATTTCCAATCCCACCCCGTCCCATCTCACTCTGCCAAACCCATGATTGAAGAATGCAGCCAAGGACTTTGAGAGGTAAAAAGGAAGGAAGGAACAGACAGAAATTACATCCAGAGACAAGTGCAAACCAGGGACTCTAGGGGAGTGTTCAGACAACAACAGAGGAAGACATGAGAGCTGTTAGACAGGGTTGAAGAAGGACCCACAAGAGGTGACATGTTTTGTTTTGGTGGAGGTGGGGTATTTTCAAAGAACATTTACATGAATTTGAGGGTGCTGAGTGTTAGGAGGAGGGTGCAGTGAAGGGAGGATGTGACTGACCTGGCTAGTTAAGTTGTGTGGCTGTGAGACCTCTGCTTTAAGTGAGCAGCCTGTGAGCATGACACACTGAGTGCTGTTGGCAGGGTGTTAGATAGCCACAGGGGGATACGATACGCTAGATGTATGATGGCGAAACGTTGGGACGGTCTGGCTGCGATGGTTACCTAGAGACACTACTGCTGAGAGTTGCCCTGTTTTAAGCTTTTGGCACCATGGCAACCAAGTCCTAAGTACATAGATGGGTGTTGCAAACGTCCAATGCGTGATTGCCAAAATCATTCTGACTGGTCCATGACACCTCTGGGTCACAAGCAATTGCTCTATTTTGTTTTCAGGAAAAAAGAAGTGCAAGTACTTTTGTACAGATGGTTTGGTGCTGAAACTGTAGGGACAAACTCTTTATTTTCCTTCTGTGTCTGTATCTCGATTAAGCTCTTGTCCAATTTGTCCGTACATGATCGATCCATGATTACGGGAAGATTTGAACAATGCTAAATGCCCTGAACTTTGCAATTAAAGTTAGTTGACTGTGGGGGAGCACCTGTTAAATGCCAATGTGTAATAAATGTTTTCTGGCATAGCAGGTGTGAAATATGGGTCTGAAAGATAGAAGGTATGTTTTCACCCACCTGTTGTAAATAAATACACATTTAATGCCAGAAATTCAAATAACCTCAAAAGAAAATGTATGTAATGTTTTTAGGCTTAGCTAAGGTGGAGAGTTGACATACCATAAAAAGAAAATGCACTAAAGCTGATGGAAGCAGATTTTTTTTTATTGCACTCTGATGTTGCGGTACCTTCTTTTGCTGTAGACAAGCTATGAATGTCATGTTGCCAATCACTGTTATAGGCCTCAAGTCCAGCAGAAAGGCAAATAACTAAAGAGTGGGGGTGTCACATCCTGGCTTTGGGTCCATGCTTATTGCAGTTGCATGTCACCCCCACTTATTATCACTATAGTGGCTGATTAAAACACCACAGAGGGTACACATGGTTTAGAATTAATTCATCCTAGGTGGGAAGCAACACGAAATGGCATGATATATCAGTTACTTATGTGACTTAAATATGTGATGCTCTTAAATACATTTTTACAACATGGACTGATTCACATTTTATTTTACAACTCGATCACAATTTTATGTAAACATAACTAAAGGAATTCATAGAATATGTTGGATGAGGGTCTAACAGGAGGAAATACCGGTGGTGGGTTTCTGTAGGAGATACAGCAGAAATGTCACAGCCACTGATCCACAGCTGGTTGCCCTCCACTCTCAGCATGTGCCACATGGCAGGGCTAGCACTTTAGACCTGCTATGAGAGACTAGTGGGGCGGTGGTCTGGGACAAAAGGGGTGCGGGATATGTGAGGGGGGAACAGGCGGGGTCAGCTTGGGGCCACAGGGTTTGACTTTGACTGACTGTGTACCTTGAACGCTCAGACAGCATTTTGAGAAGGAAGGCTAACAAGCTCTCCGCTCCTCTGGAACAAGATGCAGAAGCAAGAGAGAAACAGCCCAGGGTTAGGAGCATTGTTACACATCCTGCAATACATACAGTGTTACAGCAAACGAGAAAACTTTTTAGAAAGGGGAAGAGAAACTTCATTATGTTAGAACAATATCTGTGAGTAATATTAGGCCATTCATCATGAGGCACTGTTATGTAAGATAAAATAAAACTGCAGGAATATATAAACAAACAATGGGAAGGGTAACTGAATTACAGAGCTTTTTCATAAGTCGGCAGAAGATGACTTCAGTGCATGCGATCAATCACATATCCCCTAAGTGGCAAATTTCACAGACTAAATGAAATTACTTGGGAGCTAGAGCAGGGGGTTTCTTCCAGGGCAAATCTCACATTCTCTTCTCCAAAATAGGCCCCGAGCTCGCACGCAAACACCTTCAACCAGGCATGCACACACACACACTCACGCCACTGAAGCTGTGTTTCAATTTCACCATCAATGGCTCCCTGTTCTCTACAGCAAACCATTTAATCATCAGACAGATACAGTCAGTCATCACCACTCTTATAGAGTCTGAAGAGAGTATACATTCTCAACCTGGCTGAGTGACTGCATGCATTCCCTCTTTCTTTGTCACATTTCTAGAAGCTATTGTGTGGCAGGTGTCCTTGGGCTGCAATGTGACAGCAGTGTGTTGTTCTGTGTGGATCGTTGTTTGGCTCTCAGCAGAGATGCTGATCTGGTAGAGGCTCAGCCTGGCAGTCCACAGGGACCCGGCTTCACAGGAGCGATCAATAACCACAAGTGACATGTGCCAAGTGTATTATGTCCGCGGCTTCATTGAGCTTATTTATTTTGTGGCTGTCGGCTTCAATCAAGACCAGTTTACGCACACTGGATGGGCTGATGGGCTGAGACACTTGTATTGGAATGGGTCTAGCTCTAGTGCAACAGTAAGTCTAGGGGGAAACCGCTCTACAGTGAGAGAAACAATGCTGAAGAGGCCAGTTAGCGTGATTAGAAAGTGTGTCATCTAGTTTTGCACGAGAGCTAATGTTGAACTTAATGTGTACTGGAACTGTGTGGTATGAGAGTGGAACAGCAGCTAAATATATGGTGATGTTTTAATGCATGCTCTCTCTTGCTTTCTCTCTCTCACACACACACACTCACCCACACTCTGAAATGTTGGGAGGTCCCTCAGTGCTGTGGGCATCATCATCACCATCATCATCGGCCGTCTTCATGCCCACAGGGAGTTTGCAATCGGGCTGTGGGCGTGTCTGTCCACAGGCCTCTGAGCTAGGCCCTGGCCCCGGCTCTGCCTCTGGCCCTGGCCCTGAGCTGCTGGTCTGGGGGATGGTGTACACCTTGGAGGAGTCAGCGGACATACAGTATCTGGCACCACGGGCCAGCGGACTGCCAGAGTGGTGTGAGCCACTGACCAGACAGCAAAAAAAAATAAAGCATAATGTAACTCAAAAGTGAATGAAATGGAAATAAAAAGCATAAACAAACATCAACAATGAAAAAATGAAAAAGGCTACTAGCTCCGATGTTGAGAAATAACCAGATAACTAGATGATTGTATTTTTTTTTTTTTTTTAACATAAAATCGAATGCTCAGCTCCGCTGTTTAGACAGGATGACATCATTCCCTCCACAAAGAGCATGGTCACGCTAGTTCACCTTTAACCCTGCGCTGTTAGAAAATGACTCGCATCCAGTCTATCATGTGCGTATTCCTTCTTAACTCTGCCCTTTCAAAATGTAGTTAAATATCAACTGACAAACCAGATTAAAAGGGTCAGTGCACTCAAATCACAAAAAGCACATTTTCCCACTTACTCCCAGTGGTAACTAGCCAGTTTTATTTGTAGTTTTGAGATGCCCACCACTGTGACTTGTGCTGATTTCTGGTTCTCAAAATATGAAAACTGCATGTGCAGATATCACTGGGTAAGTTGGAGCTCAGTGACCTGACCCTTTAAATCATGATCAAATGGTCAAAGAAATGGTGTATATGTATTGGAAAAATAGGATGCATTTTATAAAATTCATTTTATTTACATATCAGCTACAAATTTGTTTCATTTGAGTTCAATTTTGTTATTTGTTTCATGTTTATCAATTATTGCTTTGTGAATAACTCCATATCCTTATACTACATCTTCATGCAAGTAATGGTAGATTTATGCAGGATGGATGTATATTTGCCAGTGATGTGAAAATGAGCCCTAGCAATCTGCCTGTCTTTGCGTCTTTTTGACTTACTTTGCTTACATTGCATGCTTTGCAACTCTAAGAAGTCCACCAGAACAGCACATCTGCTGTAGTTTCCTATTCATCTCATCATAAATATGAGGGTGTGTTTTGTGTCCCCTGCCTGGTAATCTGTTCAACTGGTCCATAAAGCTGTCAGGTTTGCATCCTAATGTTTTGTTTGCTGGAAAACTTTCAGCAAACACAAAACATTCTCCTAAAATACCCTGAGACATCAGAGTTGGCTTTAGCTGGAGGCACTACATAGTCTGTTTCCATATTCATGACCATCTGGGCCACACCCTGCAGAATGTGCTCCTGCTGCTTCACTGTTTGTTCAGATGACACTCTGGTGTCAAAGACCATTACATAAAAAGGTGGGAAGCATCGGAGTAGTCAAGGTGATGGCATGGACTCTTTACTCATTTCTGAATGATATCCTGGAGTGGACAGTTCTGACGCCTCCCAAACAGGTCAATGATCTGAACAGATTGTGGTAACATAATCCTGTATGGCATAAACAAATAGATACCCATTCTATTTCATAGAGACAGACTGTGAGTGGCTGCAGGGCCAACCCTCTGCGACACCTCTCCTCTTTCCCAGATGGGCCCCAGTCTGGTGGGGAGGACTTGGACGACGGTGTGATGAAACCCCCCATTCCCCCCATGTTGCTCCAGCCTGACAGCAGCCCCACCCACTATCTTCAGCACAGCTGGATACGTCAGGCTGTGGGTCAGGAGTTAGGTAGCACTGCTGGGTGAAAAGGTCAGCTAACAGCTAGCAACCATCCTTTTGTGCACGCGTTTTGTGCATGTCTCTGTGTGTGTTTAACACAACAGATAATGGGCTGAAGAATGAAGCGGCGGTGGTGGTGTATGTGTGAATGTCCATCCACATGTTTGAACACACTGGATTGTGCTTCGAACCATATATCACAAAAAGGGTGTGATTTTTCTCAGCGGGTAAATCAATGACCCAACACACTAGACTTAATTTCTCATAGAGAAGAAAGAACCTCAGAGTCACCACTGACATTAGCTGGAGTATACAGTGTGGTGACAAATAAAAGGGGGAAAAAAAACCAGCATCAAGTCTCCTAGTAAAGTACTGGGCCTGCAGAACAGCTTCAATGCTCGTTGGCACAGATTCAACAAGTCTCTGGAACGCCGCTGTAGCAGACACCTTTCTTCCAAATGATATTCCCTCATTTGGTGTTACGATGATGACTTTTCAACATGTCACTCCAAAATCTCCCTTAGGTATTAAATCGAGATCTAGTGACTAAGAAGGTCATAGCATATGATTCACATCATTTTCATACCATTCAGTGAGCCCCTGTGCCACCAATAGCAGCATTTGTTAACTTATCCACTCAATCATTCAGGTTTTTCCCTTAAAATACATGTCTAAGTGGTAATAAAACACACATCCTGTGTCTGTACTGTACCTTGAATGGGATGAGATTTCGCTCAGGTCTCCGATGCTTCCTTCTGTCACATGACTCGACATAATGGCGGAGGCGTAGCCTTGTGGCAGGTACAGTTTCCCATGATCCTCCTCTGATGCCCCGTCCTCATGGTGCTCCAGTACCCAAGGGTGTCCCTGCTCCCCCACCCTGCCCTGCATCAACACCCGGGCCCCAGGAGCCACGCAGGGATTAGTGTCAATGCCGCTGTCTGTGGACGCTCCTTTGATGTAAGTGAGGCCCAGCATCTCCGGGTCCATCAAGTCTCCAGAGCCAAAGTGCTTATCGTCGCTGTTGCTGGAGGCATTGCTTGAGAGAGTGTTGCTACTTGAGTGGCTTGAGTTTTTATCGCCCGTCTAGTTTAAAGAGAGAGCAAGAGAGGTGAAGGAGACAGAAATACAGTAGATCAGACAAGGACAAACAGCAGGTGCAAATAATTCTTATGGTTATTTTAACATGTTTGGTGCACCAGAGGGGGATGGGTTTCCCCATCAGGCTACATCACATGTCCTTGTGTCTCTGAATAAGGCGACAGCTCGTTTTCTTGAGGCCCATGATACTGTAAGGCGAGCTGACAGTAACAGAAAGGAATGCAAACTGAATATGCAGAACGTCACATCCTTTGTTTGTGACATAAATTGTAGCACTTGTGTGAGAGATCTGCATGTTCTGCCCCGTAAAAGGAGTGTATAATATTTTCAACAACTATTTTACTTGGCTGGTCAGAAAACCAGAGTTGTTCATTATCAACCTGAATGAAAACACAACATCTACACTGTAGGTGAATATTCTTACAATTCAATTTGTTGACTCAAAATGGGCCTCTGGTGAAAGTTAACAGCAATGCTTAATTAGAGAATTTAAACCTCCGGATTATGACCTGTCATGTTTTCTTCATCATGCTATGCTTAACACTGCTAAATCATGGAAGCAACTTAAATAAAATCACATCAAAAACAGCTACTGTGATTTGAAAAAACAAGCTCTGTGCATTAGGGAAGAGTATGCCGAGGGAATGGTTTAAATTTTTATCCACTGGCCTGGGTTAATGCAACACTGGCTGAAAGCACTGAAAGATGTTCACTGTGTGTGCCAGCCTCCAGCATCAAAGGAGAAATAAAAGACAGAAGGAGAGATGGTGTATGGGCCAAAAAAAGATAAGTGAGAGGGAAATATAGAAAAAGGGGAAAATGAGAGGCTCAAGCACTTAATATATTCAACCTTCTAGGAAAATGTGTCCTAGAAAAGTGTGAGACAACCAGAAACGGTGATGAGATGAGACGCCCGTTAGCATGCTGATGAAGGGAAAGTGATAAGTGCAAAGAGCAGCTAGAGGGGACGACATGAGTTTGAATATTCCAATTGAGCTGCTAGTCGCTGCAAAGGCTATAAACAAGGGCAATCTGACCTCATCCCAATTCAAACACCGATAAGGGGTAGACCAGGTCTGACAATGCAGAGTTGGGCTTCTACTCCAGACAGAGCACACAGAGGCTGCATTAAACTGCACTAAACAGCTTTTGTGCTCTTCAAAACAAGGCGTCAATGAATTTCTTACCACTTCCATTAAATGTCATGCAGGCAGCTTCTGTCAAATTGAAATTAAAGTAGGTCAGGCATTTACCCTGGACAGCTTGTTGGGTGAGTCTTTTCCTCCTTCTCTTTGCTTCAGAGGGTTCAGGATCTTGGTGGAGGGGATGTGCCATTTGGCCTCTGTGGACCGAAAAGAAAAAGCTGAGTCTAGAAAAGTACCAGTTATGAACAGCATAAATCACACTAAGTGGACCTGATGAAAGAAAGCCCTGGGTCACATGCCTTGGAAAACATTTCTAGATGTTATACGCATCTGAATCATGACTGCTTAGATGAAAGAACACCAGACTCACCTGCAGACCGGGTCCTCTCCAGGGTGGGCTCCCTCTCTCTGTGGATCTCTCCGTCTGCCCCCTGGATGTCCCCTGCCCGCTCATGGAGGATAGGGGAGGGACATCTGGAGAAAGAAAGAGGAGGAAAATGGGCTGTAAATCATGTTCTGCCTATAGAGTGAACTCTGTATTCTAGTCAGAGAAAGGCTTCAATAGATTTACCACAGATGTAGCAATTAGCTCAAGATCATTTAAGGTCGAATCACTTGAGCTTATAATAGAATAAAGAAGCTGCCAGACAACGCTGACAAGAGACCTCCTTTCATTCGACTCGGCATGCCAGGCACTCTCTTTGCTCTTGACAAAAGGGAAAGAGCTGCAAATTTTTCAATATGGGTCTTAATTAAACCTTAAAGAGCTAATAAAGGTTACAGCGGATGAACAGAGGCCGTAGTGTCTCGTGATCTTTAGCGAAGACTCTAACTGGAGATCAATCAGTCAGACAATGTGCTTGCTGTTCTGCATCGTGGCGGCTGTGACGGGGCACAGTGATCCCTGAGAGCTCAGTGCACTTTTGAGGGCTCGGACAGAAAAGCACCAGCGTGGAGCTAAGCCTCTTGTCATGGTCCGTAACCACTTACAGACAGACAGCGGTCTCTAAAGGTTTCTGCTCATGTACAAGATTCAGACTGACAGATGTAATGCTTGTGCAGTCTGAAGCCTTGCTGCCTTGCAAACCATCATATGAGAATATTGAAAAGGGGTCTACTGTATATTTATATGTACTGTAAAGGAGAGAAAACATTGAGGAAAATTATGACGAGAGAAAGAAATTGTGGTGCCTATAATCATGTTGGCTGTTGACTCTGTCGAAGCCTCTTTCTCCTGCTCTCTCCAGAATTTCTGTTCTTTTGTGATCATTCTGGCCAAAAACTTTCTTTTCAAAAGGCTTTCTCCAAAATTACAGTGTAGTTTGCTAAAGTGGCACTTCAGTCGCAGTAGGATATAGTGAAGGACAAGAAAGTATTTTTTATAATCACTTCCTATTATACTTAAGTGCTCATGCTTTTGAAATATTCTGAACAGAAGGAGGAGGATGTGCTCAAAGTTACAACAACGCGATATACTGTACTTGGCGTGGATTCTTTATGGCTATAAAACAGAATGGATTCATTTTCAAAGTGCCCATTTATGTTTGATGTAGCCTTTATATTCTTCTGAATACAATCATGAAACCAATGCTTTGGGATGATTGAATGGGAACTATGATAATGTATGTTAAATTAAAATAATCTCATACATGAAACTCATCATCCTCCACCATCTTCAATCTTTTAGGCTCTGGATGTGGTATTAGACCAAGGCAGGGATAATTTTATTGTTTTGTCAGATCACTTCCTGTAAAAAAAAAAAAAAAGAGTGACGACTGGCCAAAAGTGTGCTGATGATTTGGTCATTTGATGTGGAAAAATTGCTGTCATTTTGCAAAATTGCAAGTTCTCAGAAATAGTGCTGGTACTGATTGTAGCTGCATTCATTACTCCAAAACCCCATATTCCTGGAGGGACTACTTAGAGGCTATTTCAAAAGAAGTAACACTGCTGTGGTCCCGTACCCATCATATCCAGGCTGCTGGGACCAGGTGCCGCTGCCGCAGGGTCCTGGATCACTGGAGGAGGACTGGTTACTGGGGGAGCTGCGGTAGTGCTGGTCTCCCTTGTTACATGAGGTGACCTGGGGGTTTTCCATATCCTGCATTGTCCTGCAGAAACGG